TTATTTCTGATCAGTTTTACTAATTATAGTTATTACTTCATGGAGTAACCCGGAGCAACCCGGAGCAACCCGCGGAGCAACCCGCGGAGTACCAGTGATACATTTAACCCGGGTTGGGTTGGGTTGACCATTGCTCCGTTATAATATGAACCCAACCCAACCCATTATGTTCTATTAACAACCCTACCTGTCACCTAAATCTCAGACAAAGTTAAAAAATTAAATTTTTCAGGTGTAAATTTTCAAAGGTCATGTGATATTTCTATAAATCTACACCTAATTAAATTTCCTGATATAATTTCTAAAAACTAATGGTAATTATAATTGACAAAACCAGGAATTAATTCTAAAATAAAAAAACAAAGATTTAATTTTACTTGCCTCTTGTATTTGAGAAAATATATTGAAAATTCCTAAAAATACAAGTAAAAGAGAACCTAATGACAGTGAAATAGAAAGTGAAGATAAATTTTTCAAGCAAGAAAAAAAATGATAATAATAATGAAATTTTTGAAGATTGTATTGAATATTCAGAGGCGAAAATAAATTTCTTTGAAAAAAATAAAAATGAAAGTAATGATAATGAAGAAAATAATAATAAAATTGAAAATGATAAAAATAGTGATAATTTAGACTCTACTAAATCTGAAAATAATGAAAACAATTTAGAATTAGAATCTAAAAACAATAGTGACAATAATAATAATATTTTAGATGAAATTTCTATAATGTTAGAAGATTCATTAATTAAAATTGAATTAAATATTGGTACTTTAAGTACTAAACAACAAGTCTAATTTAATTAGTTACTTGAAAAAAATCAAGATTTATTTGTGTCTGATATTAGTTAATTAGGACAAACAAATATTATTTAATATAAAATCAATACTGGAATTGAACAATCTGTAAAATAAAGGTTTTATCATTCCAATTTAGTAGAAGAACAATTTATAGAAGAAAAAATCAAACAATTATCATAAAAAAGATTGGTTGTGAAATCTTTTAGTCTTGAACTTTTTCAGTAGTTATTGTGAGTAAAAAAAAATAGAAAACAATATCTATATGTTAATTATAGAAAAGTAAATGTTCTTATCAAAAAGAATATTTACTTAATTCCTTGTGTAGATGATATATTAAGTGCAATGCAAGGTGTAGGATAGTTTACCACACTTGATTTAGTGAGTAAATATTAACAAGTTAAATTGGACCTTAGTAATTGAGAGAAAATTACTTTTATTATTAAGCAGGAAACATATGAATTTACAGTAATGCTGTTTGGTTTAATTAACATTTTTACTACTTTTTAACAGTTTATAAATTAAGTTTTTAATGGACTCTTATATAAAGGTATTATTGTTTATTTAAATAATATTAATATTTATTTTAAAATATTTGAAAAATACTTGAAAAAATTAAAAGAAATATTTAAATGATTATGTATTACTAGTTTTAAATTAGGTTCTGATAAATATCACTTTTTAAAAAAACAAATTGAATTTTTGTATCATATTATCAGTAACCAAAGTATTACTACTAACCTAGTAAAAATTGAAAAAGTACAATACTTTAACCTAAAGATGTGACAAAAGTCTGAAGCTTTTTAGGATTAGCCTTATATTATAGAAAGTTCATTTATAACTTTCTAAAATAATACAAATTTTATACCAATTAATATAAAAAGAGATATCTTTTAAATGGAAAAAAGAATATTAACAAGTATTTGATACTTTTAAAGAAAAGTTAATTATTTCTTCTATCTTGTCACATTCAGATTTTAAAAAATCTTTTTATTTATTAACAGATAAATCTTCTAAAAGACTTGGTACAGTTTTTATACAAATAAATGATCAAGGTTTAGAACAAGCAATTGCTTATATAAGTAAAACCTTACAAGGAGTGCAAAAGAATTATATTACAACTGAATTGAAATATTTAACTATTATTTAGACAGTTGAACATTTTCACTATTATTTAGATATAAAATTATTTGTAATTATTACTGATCACTCTGTCTTAATCTAGTTACATACTAATTCTATAAAAGAATATCATACTTGATAAATTCTCAAATTACAACCTTACAATTTTGAAATTAAATATAGATCCAGAAAAGAAAACAAAAATACAAATGCATTCAATAGAACAACCTTTTGAAAGTATAAAAATTAATATTATAAGATCCTTATCTCGTATAGTGAGAGGAAATAGATACATAGTAGTTATCATTAATTATTTAACTAAATAACCAATGTACAAGTATTTCCTATAGCTAGTACTGAAGCCATAATTAATTTTATTTATGATAATATAATTTGTTAGCATTGAATACCTCAAACTATTTTATCTAATTATAGTATTTATTTTAAAAATCAAATAATAGCTCAATTATATGACAAATTTAAAATAAAATATAGATTTTTGTCATTTTATCATTCTTAAATCAATTATATGATAGAGCATTTAAATAGAACTTTAGAAACTGCATTAGAAAAATTAAGATATAATGAATTGATATGAATATATATTGACTATATTATTTATTTATAGAACACACAAATATAATACAATTAAATTTACTCCTTTCTCTTTATTATATAGATAAGATATAACATTACTAGTTGAAATAACTAAAAATGTACCAATTAATAAGTTTGAATTAAGAAACACTATTATATACAAAGCTTTTGAAATTGTAAATCAATTGACACAATATCATGAGATAGTACAAAATAATATTAGAAAATTATAAAAACAATAAGAAATCTAATATTTTATCAAATTAACTAAAATAGTAAAATATAAATCTGATAATCTAGTATTAATGTATGATTTCAAATTAAATAAACAATAGTTTAGTAAATTGGAAACTAAATGGAAATGACTATTTAAAATACATAAATACTTAACTAAAGGAGCATATGTATTATACAATTAATTTAGATAATAATTAAAAGAAGTAGTATATGCAGATTGATTAAAACCTTATTTAACTTGTATCACTTGACTACCTCAACTTATAATTTAAAAACATTAACTTAAAATAGGTTATAATTCATACATGCATAATTTAAAAAGTAATAAAAAGGATTTCAATTTCTAAACAAATAAAGTTTACTTATAATAACTCAACAATTAGTTTTATTAAAATTAGATTTAATTATAACTGGAACATATACTATTCAGTCTATTGAATATCTATACTTTCTAGCTAAAGAATAATCTGAAATTATGAATAAAACTTATAATGCTACTCAATAAACTTCCTAACAAAAATATTAAATTTATACTCTTGTAAATATATTTTTTATAAGAAAATTAATTAAATTATCTGTGATATCTAGAAAAAAATAGATAGAATTTGTACATTAAAATTTTATTAAAAATAAAAGACAAAATTATCTGGGATCTATTAGAATTTACAAATTATTTGCAACTGATATTGAACAAATTTATTACATACAACATATAACTTTTAGAACTATTGCTTACTTGAATAATTAGTCAATAGAATTTAGAAAAAGTTATAAAGAGGATTTTACAATTTAACAAGAAAGAAAATTGTTACCATGAGTTCCTTTTACTTTAATAATTTTTATTATTTATTATTATTTATTTTTTATTTGTTATTTATTTTGTTAGTATAATTATTTATATATTTTATTTATTAGTTATAATTAGTATCTATTTATTAGCATAACACAAATTATATAAATCAATAATATAGATTATAGTAGTCTAGTTACAGGTCAATTTACTAATCAATTTAGTATTCAACTAATTGATCAACTTAGTAACCAACTGATTGACACAATTACTAATTAAAATTTTAACCAATTTACTAATCAACTTACTGGTCAAATTAAATAATATAAAAAAGGTAAGTTTTCTCTCCACTTCAAATTAAATTTGAATAGTTCTAAAATAGTGAATTTTAAAAAGTAATCTCAACTGTAATTAATTCTGTAATTGAATTAATATATTATAATCTTAAAATAACTGGATTATTGATTTTCTTCATAATAAACTTATATTCTCTATATTAAAATTCTATTACTTTTCTACTAATTTATATTCTTTAAGTACAAATTCTAATCAATAAACTTCTATTATTACTCTATAAATCATTGACAAATATATTTAGTTCTTTGTTTTAATTTCTTAAATTGTTCTTTAAAATTTAACCATTAATTAATAACTTAATTCCTGTGATCATAGATTTTAAGTCTTTTGATTAGTTTTAGTATTTAATTTAAAATCATTTTTTTATTAACTTTAAATTATTTTCTTCAATTCGTAAACTAAAGTAACTATTTACAAGTTACTAGTTGTAAATTGCCTTTTGAAAAATAAAATTAGTTCAAAAAATTAACTAATATAATGTATAATGAATGTTTTTAAAAATTCATTATATATTTTATTAATAAAATTGAAATTTATGAAATTTATTATTTTTATATACTATTTGTATTATCAGTTAGATGATATGTCCATTTCAATGATGATCATTAATTAAATTATTTTGTGTAATAATATGTCATGAAACTTCACTCATATGTCAACACTTAAATATTAAATATTAATAAACAAAGTTCTTCTAAATAATCTTATTTTCTAAGTTTTAAACTATTTATTTATCAAAATAATTTTTATTTTTTTCTAATATTTTGCTTTTTATAATTATTTAAATTTAGTATTGAACTTTGTACTTATGATAAAGATTCTCTTGACTTGAGACATATTAAAAGTTTTTAAGTATCTAGATCATTATATTTATTGAGTTATGTCACAAAAACTAAAAAAAATCATATCATTATATATATATAATTTGTAATTTAAGTTTTATCATACTTTAATAATTATAATTTAGTAAAAAAAAATTTTTTTTAAGCTTTATTGATATCAGTTTTTTTATATCGATTTTTATAATATTATATTATTCAAGCTTTATTTTATATATCAGATATATGTATATTTCCTTTAAGTGCAATAAGATATTGTTATATTTCTTCTTTAGTTGATAGAAAAGAATGTATAACTATTGGTGCCAAAATTTGAATTACTTCTTTTGATAAAATTCGTTGTGTTCTTTTTGAGGAGGATCATCGGTTAAAATTATTACAGGATCTGAAAATGTTCTAGAAACTAAAATATGTACATTTATTTCACTTGATTTTTTCCTTTATTTTTTTTCTGCTCCAATATCTTTATATTTTATTACTAATACTTCTTTCGCTTTTTCAACAGTATTAATCATTTCTTTTTTAATACTTCTTAACTATATATAAGTTTTATATAGCACAATCCTTGTCCATATGATTTTTTTAAACATTTAATTTCTTTAGTACATATCTCTTTAGATTTTATAATGTGAAAAAGATTATAATCATGTTTATTATAATGTTGAATATCAAAAATCTCTAATAAGTTATTCACAAAATTCCACATAACTTCTTTTCGAAAGTCTACTGATCAAATATAGTGTATTTTGAAACATTATTCAAATATTCATTAAGTAATATTTAATTCTTTCATGTTTAATTTGTGCTAGTTTTATTTGTCACTTAAAATTTTCTGTATCTATCACATTTTTATTAATATTTTGTTTTATGAACTTAACACCAAATATTTCCAATACCTCATCAAATACAAGAAAATGACCTCTTTTATCTTTCAAAACTTTAAATGATGATACATATTGTAATTTTTTTTTTAATTTTGAATATTTTTCTAAAATTCCAAAAAAAATGAGTTACTGATTGTAAATAATTAGATTTTTCAGTAACAGGAAAAAGAGGTACAAATGCAACCAAAGTACTTTTTTGAAAATTATAATTTTCAATTCGAATTCCAGCTTTATATATAAGAAAAAGTTCAGCTCAGTGATAAAATAAATATCAAATTTGACGTACTTGATTTTCTTCATAATTTTCATCTAAAATATTATTTATATATAAATTCTTTAATTTAAGGTGTATTCGTAATACAATATTTACTGTAATTCAAATAAGTTTAATAATTTTTACAGTAGCTTTATAATCTACAACCTTTTTAAATTTATTTAAAAATTTAACACCTATCGCAACATCTAAATTAAAAATTATATAGCTTGAAAATATTGTAATAATAATTGATGTCATATCTTTGTTTATATGTCACATTCCTAATAATGGATATAAATTTAGCTACTCTTTCATTATATTTATTAAATATCTAAAAATTAACTCATTACCTACAATATCTAAATAATTATATAAATTTAATGAAAAATCTTTTTTATATATATCTGTAAATTAATATATACCTTTATTACTATTAAGAATTCTACTGGCTTCTAATATTATTACATGTGATGGGGAACAAAAACATCCATAAGTTAATTTTTCTAAAATTTTATTATATATTGTCATTACATCTAAATTTGTATTATATTTCAGTTCTCCATTTATATCATTAAAAATTAAATATTCATCAAATATTTTATCATATAATTTTAAAATTTGATATGCATTTTCATTTATTTCAAAAATATGATCTAAAATTAATTTTTTTTTATTATTTTTTATATCATCTATTGAAATAGGTAATTGAATTTGAAAAGTCATTCTTAGAGTTATATGTAAAGTATTTCTAATTATATCAAATATATTACCATAAGTAAAAATTTTTTGTTTAAAATCTATATTATCAATAATAACAAGATTTCAAATATTCTGAGTTTTTTGAAATCTTGATATAGGATTTGTTTCATTTATCTTTTTTTTTTCCAAAATACATTTATGATTATTACTATGAGATGAAATTTTTAAAATTGAAAGAAATTCCATTAAATATGTTATTATTTTAAGTTTTCTAGTTAAACTACTTATCACTTAAGAACCATATTTTAATTGAAGGAAATATAATAAAAATTAAAATTAAAAGAAATAAAAAAATAATTTTTGTTATTTGAATTAAATTATTAAATTTGATTAGTTTTTTTCTTTTGTGATTGTTTTTTATTTGTTATTATTGATTTTTTTTCATAAATAATAATTAATAGATTATGAAAAAACTTTTTAATCAAATAGGAAATAAAGATATATAATTATTAAGAGTTGATAAATTTTGTAATACTTCATGAGATTTTACAAGTTCTTTTCTAGATTTTCAAAGTTTATTGTTAAATTCTTTTTCCAAATTTTCATAATATTTTATATTTAAATCTTTCATTAAAATAGTATTATTTTTATTTTTTTTAATTGAAATATAATTTGAAGTTGAAGTAAACTAAAAATAAATAAATCTATATCTAATGAATTAGAAGTTTGTTCTATATTTATGGAAGTAGAAGTTTGATTGAAATCAATATTTTTTAATATACAAAATATTGAAAGTACAATTGTAGATAAAATTAAATTTTAAAATTTATTTTTTATTAAAATTTTCTACATTAATTAGCCATTTTTCAATTATTTTAAGTTGTTGCAAGGTATCTTCTATATGCTGCTGATTATAACTTGTTAATTTTTTTCCTTTTCCAGATTTAATATAATGATACTCACCCTTTTGTTCAAAACATCTAACATATATAAATCGTGGTCTATATATATTTTCTGAAATTTTTTTATATATATTATCATATTCTTTTAATTCTATACAATTGATTTATCCAATACATGGTGTTAATATTACTCTATCTAAAATATTCTATGAATGTTCCTTACAATTAATTTCTCATGAAAAATAATAATAATTATGATAACAAAATAAATATTACCAAAATTGAACATGACTTTGTTGGATATTTTTTGGTGATTTTGACTTTTTATTATGTATTTTTTGATCAAGATTAAAATGAGACATACATACATCTAATCTGAATAAATCATTATTAATTTGATTTACAATTTCATTATTAATTTACCAAAGACCTATTAATTCATGTAATCTTTTTTTACTATTTTCACCACACGTTTGAAGTTTTCCATTAATAATATCTACTAATATACAAGATGTTAATTTATTATTTGTATCTGAATCTATAATAAAAGAAGATTCTTTAATTTCTTGTTCTAAATTTATATTATCTTCTGAATCTTCAGTATCACTTTGTACAATAATATCTTATTCTTTGTTTATTAATGAATTTAAGGTTTGAAAATAATTTTCTTTGTTAATTGATATAAAATCATTAATATTATTATTTTCTATTTCAAAAAATTTAGAGTATGGATAAGTTTATTTATTAAAAATAAAAAAAACATTCAAATTTTGTTCATTTTCTATTGTGTAACATTATTGAATTAGTGGAAAAAATGTTTTTTGAAAATGAAGATTCTTTTATAGAAGAAACAATAATAAAAATAATTTATAAATATATTTCATATATAATATACTATCTTTTAATGTGATTTTTTTTTATAACACAATATATAAAATTTGAACTTATATATATGCATAATAAAATTTTATTAGTTAATTAAATTTTTTTTTTATTATAAATTTTTTTTTTAACAAATTACATATCAATTATTTAACATATCACCTGACTATTATTTATATACTGTATGTAATACTTCTAAGAAATATTTTCAATAAAACTATTAAGATTACTTTGTGTCATTAAAAAAAAATATTGTTTTATAGTTTTTTTTTAATTTTTTTTATATATTTGATTTCTTTTGTTGTATCAAAACTTTTCACCTATTGTTCTAAATATAAAATTATTTTATCATATAATTCAATAGCTTCATTGTAAGTAATAATTGATAAAGTATCTGAATTTTTTTTTATTTCTTCTATTTTATCTTCTTTATTAGGAAGAACTATAATTAGAATTTCATTATTAGTTCTTATTTCTGTAATAACTTCTGTATTATCATAATGAATAAATTTATTAGTACTAAAAGGATCTTCAAAATTTATTCTATAATTAATAATTGAACCTCATTTGTATTATTTACTGTAATTTTATTTATATCTATTTTATCTATAATATAATTCAAATTAAATTCATCTGTATTTACTTTAGATAAAATACCTGTCTTTTGTCAATAATTTTTAATAATAGATTCAGTAACATTATTTCATATATAAACAATATATTTAATACATTTTTAACATTAATTTTAACAGGTTCAATATCATATTTATTATATTTATCAAGTGCTTTAACATAATTATATAAAAATAATTTTTAATATTGTACTTAAAATTAAAATAAAATTATTAAAAAATTTTAAAATTTTAACTTAATAATTATAGTAGAAAAATTTTGAGATTGAAATTAAGTAACATAAAGTGATTTTCTAATCAAGATGTTTCTAAGATAAATTGAAAACCCTAGTTTCAAAATATATTTTTATATATATTACATTTTTGTAGATCAATATTCATTGAAATTATGATATTTAAATTTAAATATTTATAAAAAATCTAATAAAAACTTTTTATCACAATCTTGATAAATATTAATGTTACAAAAATATAATATATATCAAAATGTAATTTGAAATTAGGACTTTTAATTCATCTTAAAAATATCTTAGTAAAAAATCATTCTTTATTATTTAAATCACAAGTAAAGTTAAAAACAAATTTTTTTCATATAAATTTATATAATTTTAACTTCAAAAATTTTCATGATACATAAAAGATAAATTTATTTACCTTAAAACTATTAATAATTCCTTGATTACAAGATTGTAAATATGCAGTAGTATTTAGAGATAAAAGTTCAATAGTAATATTTGTAACATGTGTAATTTTATAAAAAATATGTGTAGGTGTATTATCAATTAAAAGAATAATTTTTCTATTCTATATTTTTATTTATATGTTAAGTTTTTTAATATAATTATTCCAAATTGAAACTTGTATCTAACTTTTTAAATTTCAATAATAATTATTTATATATCTAAGTACTTGTAGATTTTTATATTTGTGAATTAATAAAAGTTTAAATTTTTCAGTTCCAGTTACATTGCATGTGAGTAAAACTGTTATACGATCTTTTGATTATTTTATTTCTGATATTAAATAATTAGAAATTATATAATTAGATCTTATTTTTCAAAAAAGACCAGTTTCATCACAGTTAAAAATATCTTGAGAATTATATTTTTTTAAAATTTCATTGAATTTCATTAAGATTTTAAAGTGAAGTACTTGATGCTTCTTTATATATATTATATTGTTTGAGATTATATCACTTTTTGAATTTTTCAATCTATCTGCTTATTTTTAAATTTATCTTCTTTACATAAAAAAGTAAATTCTAATACTTTTGTAAAAAGAATATCATTTGTAATATTGATATTTACTTGAATTACATCTTCTATCCATAAAGTTAAAGCATCTTCTATAATAAGAAAATGAATTTTTTTTTACAATATAAAATAATTTGATATAAATTAAGATTTACGACAAGCCAGTAATTTTTTGTCTTTAAAATATTACTTATTATTCTTTTACTAATTTTATATTTATTAGTTAAGTCTTTGTTTTTTAAAAATGATAATAATGATTTTTTTAAATATATTTTTTTTTGTACTGCTATAAGAGACTTATATTTTTTTTGATATTTCAAAATATACATGTTCCCAAAATTAATTTTGGATTTTTGAGGTATTTCGACTTTTTGAGATTTATGCAAAATCTATTCTATATATGGAAGTAAAAAAAGTATCTAGTTATATGTATCTTTAATCAAAGAATAAATCTGGGTGGTCAAAAAATTTCAGGTTTTAAGTAAAATAATTTCATTTTCTATGAAAAACTATTTTGACTTTTTTCCCCAAAATAATTTTGCGTACAAGTATATTTCAAAAGATATCAAAAAAAAATCTTTTTATTTTTAATTTATAAATATTAGATTAATAAATTACATAGTTGATTTCAAAATTACTGTTAGTTGTAATAATAGAGGTAGTAATCACCTCTTTAATTTTTATTATAGTTTTTATAATTTGAAAATAAATTTAAAGAATATAGAGTAATTTTTTACTAAGATATTTTTAGAACAATTTTAAAATCCTTATTTTAAATTTTCTAAAAGTAATTTAATTATTTTTTTAGCTTTAGAATTCATCAAGTTATTAATATATAAAATAATATTCAAAATTAATTAATTTGACACTATATAAAATATATAATCACAATTTTTTATAATCACCAAATATGCTAGAGGTTAGACTGTATAGTTATTTTTTATTTAGTTGAAAAAATTTTTCATTATGTTAAAAAAAATATGTTCTAATAAAAAATTTGTTATATCAAAGTACTTTTAATATATATATTTATCAGGTTAATTTCATATTATATTATTTTATAATTAATTTAACAAGTCTGTTATATCAAAATTTTTTTATTATAAAAAAATGGAGACCAAATAAATATTTGTTATATTAAAAAATCAGTATATTGAAATTGTTATATTGAGAATTGACTATATAATGTAGAACCTTTATAATAGAAACTTGAAAATTTTTAATTCAATATTTAGATTTCTTTATATTATAATATTTGAATATATATATTTGAAAAAATTTATTTATTAAAAAAAATTTTTTTCTCAATTTTCTTGATTTATGTAAATATCACATAATACAATTTTAGCTAATAAAAATTCAAAAAAAATATATTCACATATTTATATAAAATTATAAATTTCATTTAAACTTTTGTCAATAGTATTTAACAAATACAAAATATCTAAAATCATTAGAAATTTTTTTTTAAAGTAAAATTATAATATTTAACTATTTTTAATATATTTTCAAATTTGATAGGTATAATTAAAATATAAAAATTTTAACTTCAATAAAAGTTGATCAATTTAAGTCAGATTAAAATTTTAATCAATAGTTCTGAAAGCTTAGATTTTGAACTATTAATTTTTATAGTTAAAATTTTATTTTTATGTATAGCAAATAAAGTTTTAATACAAAAAGGCTGAATAATTTTTATTATAACTAAGTTCTTATTATAGAGATTTTGCATTGTAGAAAAGAGAAACTTTAATAAAAACTTAAAATATTAAATATTATTTGTACTACTAGAATAGTCTATTATATTTTATTACTATAAAAAATACTCTTCTAAGCAAACTTCCTTAAACATTTGATCTAATTAGCAAGTGAATAGAGATGACTTATAAGAATATAATTATAAAGTTTTGTCATTTATTAAGTAGTTGTTCTGGTGACTTGTCATGTAAATAATTAAAAATTTATTGTAATTCGTTAGCCAAAGTATTTCTTAGGGTATATTATAGTGAGATATGTTGTATCCAGGTATAATTTGACATCAGGAAATTTTTCGGGGCGTAAATTTCCGTAATAAAAACGGGACCCACGGAAATTTATGCCCAAAAATTCAATTTTTTTGACTTTGGTCGCAATTTACGAGACAGGAAGCGA